TTTACAGCAGGGTTGCTGTACATTTTTCATGGTACGCGCCACCACCAAGAGATCGACCAGCATCTTTCTTAAAGGGAAAGGGGCGGGGCAGGGGTGTGTGGTTTTCTTGTTTTGCCGCTGTTGGGAGTCTACTCCGTTGCCATAGTTCAAGCTTGTTGCAGACCTTCTAAACATGTAGAAACCCTCTCGGAGGCAGTGTGAGTTCATGTGGGGGTTTGTCTAAATCAAGAGACCCTCCCCAAATGAGCAGTTGCCTTTTGAGTTTCCATTCTACCAACCTCGATTTCGAGGGGTGTCTCCCAAAAAGGCGCGCCCACAGCTTCAACCAAAAATGAGTTGGGGTCTTGCACTTCGAGCAAAGGACCTTTGAACACACCCCCACATGCTTTTTTCCCTCACCCAAAAAAGACCAGACGTTATACCTCCCAAAAGAAAACTAGATGCTTTTGCCTCCCCCCCAACAAAAACAGACGTTTTTTCCTCCCAAGAAAGGAGAGAGGCCCCTTTTTGAAGCCTCCGAAAGGAAGGAAGGCCCCTTTTTCCGCGGGCGCGGCGCTCCCGCTCCGAAGCTCCGAGGCCCGGCACTTCGGGGAGGCGACGCCGGCCACGGACGTGGGGGACGACAGCCAGGCGCATGGGTCGAGGGACATGGGACATCGGCTCGTCCTTTGAAACGGTTTGAAAGAGGAACCGAAAGGACACAACGCCTCTTTGGAGACCAACCCAAGGGTCGATCCAAATTTGGGTTCCATGTTTTGGAGACCAATCATGGGCGCTCCACTATTTTTGTGTGGATCATGAAGGCGGATGTCGCAAACTAGGAGCCCACAAAATGGCAACGGTGTTCTTTTGGTTCCCTTTTGAACCAACCTAAGGGCGCCCTTAAAAGACACATGGGCAACATAAATTTCAATCGCGAAAACCAGGACTCCAACTCCAGATTCCCGTGTCCTTTGCGGAAAAAGTTATGTTGGGCCTCTTGTAGGGACGCTTAAGCTGAGGGGAGAAAGGTGGCTTCCCTGTGCTTTCTCTTGTCCCATTTGCGGGTTGTTTCCACGAAAAAGATATCCGGTTGGAAGGTGTCAGGGAACCAGCGGAAACCCGTTGCTTTAGGGAGAAATGCCCCCAACTCCTGGTTTCCAGCTGCGTCCTGTTCCGAACCCAGGGATTTTGTGAATCGGGATTCCCAAAAAGTACTTGCAGAGCTTCTTGGGAGGACGGCCACAAAGCGGAGCAAGCTTTAGAGGCGCCTTTGATCACGACTGCTTACATGGTCTGAAAGGTATCGCGCTGAGAGAGAAGTTCAGACTGCAACGCCATGCAAACAGCACGACTGTTGGGGGTGTGTTTGGACTCTGCAGACTCCAAGCACTGTTTTGGGGTGTTTTGTGGGACTTTTGGTTGCCAGCGTTCTCTTTTTGGGCTGTCAATCACCCTCAGCTCAACCCGCGCAAAACCATGGCCCAGGCATGACAGAAACAGGCAGCTTGCCACTCGCCCCTTTGCATGCATCCCGCGTACACGTTTTCTCCACCGGAGAACTCGTTTTGTGCGCAGGATTGGGCAGTCTTCAATGGCGACTGCGAGACGGCGGAAGGCTCAGGACGTCCCCCAAAAGTATCCTGGAACACCAACTGATTTTTTGTGTTACGCGGTTCAAGGGCTGTCTGGATGTTTCGGTGACGGGTTTGGGCACGCTTGGATGTGTGTGTGTGTGTGTGTGTGTGTGTGTGTGTGTGTGTGTGTGTGTTTTGGTGTGTGTTCGTTTGGGTGTAGTCTGGTGTGTGTTCGGCTTTGCTTGGGTGTAGTCGGGTGGGTTCGTTTAATCGCGTTTAGGTGTGTTGGGATGTGTTTGGGTTTGGTTGTGGTGAGGTGTGGTACTGCGTGTCTGTGCGTCTCTGTTTAGGAGTGGTTGGGGGGTGAGTTTGTGTGCTTTTTCGATGCGCTTAGGTATGTTTCGGGATTAGCCACTGGCCGGTGTTTCGGGAAGAAAGTGGTTTTGGGTTTGGCCGTTATCCCCTTTTGCCAATCAGCAAAACATGCCAACGAACAGTCTTGAGGCATCAGCCAATGGCTTTCTTTGGGTCACAGAAAAGATATGACACGTAGAACCAAAAGAGAAGAACAGAACACGGTGCAGCTTTGTCAATGGGATGGACTCCGAACGGGGTCTCACTGAGGTCAACAGCCGCCTTCCGCACCTCACATACAGAAGGCCGCCTCCGCCGGGCGTAGGGACCCAAAGATCTGGCGGTCAGAAATGGCCATGGGGCACAACCTATGGCTCCATCTTGGCGTGGATGAACATCCATTTGCCACCTATTTTGATGTTCACCAGGGGTACAGGGTTTTGACCCACAGCCAAATGGCAACCTTTTCAAAAGGTGGTAACTGGGTGAATGCGAAAGGGCTAAGATTCGGACGAGAACCTGGCGTCTGGATGATTTTGTTTTGACCCGTATGAGTCTGAGGGCGTTTTATGAGCATTTCATCCCCAGATCCAAGGAACTCAGAGAGGCATCCAACAGAAGCCCACGGGAACTCTGGGGCTCAGAGGAGACCCTTAGAGCCCCATGTCTGGGTTCAGCACCTGAACTGCGACTGGCGGGGAGCTTTGGGACACGTCGGGGAGGTTTTTGGATCGAAAAGAAGATTTCCCTCACACGGACATAACAGCTGAGCAGGGGTTCGAAAGGAAAGTAATCTTCCAGGCACCTCCCCACAAGTGCCATGGCAACGTGGGAGGAAGGGTAGTTGCTCCCCTGTGAAACAACTATTTTCAGCACCACGTGGTTGTGATTAATTGCAGGGATCTTGTCAGACAAATTGACACGGGGAATCTTGGTTTATCAAAGGTAGGCTGCGCAGAACAGTGGATAACCCGAATCAAGGTGGTGATTCTTGCCCCCCCCCTCCCCATTGTAGCATCAGATTGCAACTGAACATGTTCCCTAAAAGGAGGATGCGTGAGAAGAACGGACCATGCTGCATTTCACGGGTGAAAACAGTGGTGGAAAGGTGCGATCAATCTCTATGTTGGTTTATTTGTCAGTTGTAAAGGGGGGCTAGGCTGGAACCAGCCACAAGTCGTTTCAGACCAAAGACTGGGGCCCCGACAAGGTCCAAGCACGGTCCAAATATGTCCAAGAAAACAGCAAGGTTCCAAGCAGGTCCAAGCAGGTCCAAGCTAAGATGAATCAAGAAGGGTTCAAAGAGGCGCACAACGGTCCAATGGTCTCAACCTTTCCGTTCTGTCAGGGTGTTTTCGAAACTTCAGAAGTTGCGAGGCCAGGAAACCATAGGGGGCGACTGGGCACATCCAACATGGCTTTGGTTTCGATACATCCGAACCCTTCTGCAAAGTATCCGATTTGTTGTGGTTTTTTTAATCCGCATTTGGACAGCGAACGATGTACGACCATGGAGTTTCGGATGGTGGTGTGTAGGAACAGGCCGTGCCATTGTGGCATAGGGTCGGATTTCCAGTGACACATCCGGAGGTGCAGCGACGGCGTGTCGAAGGAGCCTTGGGGAGGCTATGACACCGTGCAGTTGCAGGCCACGGGCGAACCGACGGATTTTTCGACGGAGGTTTGAAGCTCGGTCTCGGTTTCGGTGTGGGTTTTGGAATTGAAAAGACGTTGCGACGTTGCGACGCCAGAAGAAACGGAGGGCCCGCTGAATGCGGGGGGCTGACTGCCTCGCTTACGCTCTTTTTTTTTGCCTTTCCATCCGCGCACTAGAAAAAAGGGGCATGCGGCCTTTCCATCAAACCCGGGTAAGATGGTGGTCGATGCCTCGGAACCAACCTGGTTTTCCTAGCAGGTCCTTTTGGGGGAAGCATGCATTTGGGAGGACATGGCCATGGATTTGTATATTGGTGGTGGACACGACATACATCCCCACCAAGTTTAGATGTCCACCGCAGGCTTGGCAACTAAGAACTCATGCCTACATGGGGAAGCCAGTATTGCTTCCCTGCAAGCCGAGCACTGGCACATCGACTTCTCCCGTTCAGAAATTATCGTGCCCTGCAAATGGCCGTTCCCCGGGAGCTGTTTTTTGGCGGATTTTCCTTTCCGGGCAACCCAAAAACAAGCCCTGGCGATGGGCATCTTCTCGCAATTTCGATTTTGTGGGTTTTTTCGCCGGGGCTTCGGCTCTCGTCCTCTTTGGTTGCCACTGTTGCTCACCTCCCGAGTTCCGTTTCGGACTCCAGCCGCTTTTTTGTGGGCCTGGACCTTTTTAGTGGCGCACAAGAAGTTTGGACCTTTGTTGGGCCAATCCACTTCAGGCTGAGCATCCTCCTGGGTGATGTTCGTTTGTTGCCCCTGAAGCTTGCCGCGAGCTTTTTTGGAATGAGGCCGTTCATAGCAACGGCTTCTACTCCATGTTTTCGCTGTCCATGGGCATCTCCGAAGTCGGGTGCCCCGAAATCAGGGAGAGGCCGCTTCAGAAAATTTCCCAACTCACTGGTTCCTACTTGGGGGGCCCCTACTTGGTAGTTTCATTTGCCAAGTTCGTGTCTGTGGAAATCGCCACATCTTCTCTTTTCTTCTTTCTTTTTTTTCTCGCCTAGTAAGTGGCCAGCCAATTGGAATAACAAGTGGAACGGGGACTTATAAACGGGTTGTTGCCAATAGCTTACCGACTTGGCGAATCGAACAGCCAAGTGCCGGAGGTCACTCCACCAAAATCAACAGCCGTTCACTGCCGTTGCTGGCCTTTCGCGACGCTTTTTTGAGGGTTTTTACCAGTTCGGTGTAAAGAACAAACAAGTTGGACTTTCTTTTTGACGGCCAATCCACTCAAGTTAGAGGAATCGGCAGGTACTTGAAGGCCGAACGTTTGCCATTCTCGGCTCGAGAACTTTGAGATCGACGTTTGGATTCTCAGAATCCCAGTCGAGTCTCTCTGGTTTGGAAGGGGGCCGGACTCGGAGCTATCCAAATTTTGCTTTCGAGGGAGTGATTGGGAGTTGCCGATCGGAATTCTAGAAAGACATGCTTGAATCCGCACCACAAACACTTGCCTCGGTTGACTCACCATTCGACTTGCTGATCTTACGAGATGAATGCGCTCCTGTGTCTCCCAAGCTGATACACAATTTGGAGTCTTAAACAAGCAGTTCAAACAGTTCTGTTGCACTTCCTGGCTTTCTCCGGCATGTCTAAGCTTGATATGGCTAATGGAGTCTCCAACCTCGGTGTGAACATTGCGCGTGCCATTTGTGAGGGCCTTTTGCTGAACTGCAAGAGTCTGGGACCCGCAGGTCCCTGATGAAGAAATTGCGGGGGCCCTGCAAAATCGTTTAGCTGCTCTGGTCCTTTGCCCAGACTTCACCCAGGCCCGTGTGTTAGGGTGCAAACTTTTTTTCCCTTTCCAACAGAACACCGGTGGATGGGGACGCGATCGGGAAGTCGTCTCGACTGTACCACGAATGTGGGAGCCATGTGCTCCCGAAACATGAGACACCTCGACACCTCACAGTTTCACTGCCGTTTCCTTGGGTGTGGAATTCTCATGTGAGAATCTACAATAAAGCCTCATTGAAAGGATGGTTTTGTGAAGCTTGTTCCTGGAAAAATTGGGGAGTGGAGTCACGGAATCACTTGGGTTCTTGTAGACCTTGTAGATGGTTCATGCTCATAATTCACAAGTGGTTCTTCCAGGCAATGGTTCATTCTGAGAATCTTCCTTCGTGCAAGCAAGGCATTTCACCCATGCAAGGAACCGCCGTTTTGAGCTTCGGCTCATAGCCACACAGCTCTCTGAGGTGGGTACGTTGGATGATATTTTGTGCCGGGCTTGGCTGGGGGAGAGAGGGAGAGAGAGAGCGAAAGAGAGCGAGAGAGAGAGAGGAGAGGAGGAGAGGAGAGGAGAGGAGAGGAGACGAGAGGAGAGGAGAGAAGAGAAGAGAAGAGGAGAGAGAGCTGTGTCATCGAAGCACACAGTTGAAGAAACACAAATGCTGGATTTCAATCCCAAATGCTGCTGGCCTAACCATGCTCAGGCTGGGATTGTGCCAGCTGCTCCAATTCCAGAACATGTGGCCATAGTCCGTAAGGCTGCCCAGCAAAGAGCGGATGCTGCTCGTGGGTCTAGAATTCACACTACCCATATTATTATGTTTTTTTTGTCCCGTGCTTTTTTTTTTTGCATTTCGAATGGACATACGAGTTGAATTCAGTTTGAATAAGTTGTTTTTGACTGTTATCTCATCTGTAAGGACTTCTATTGGATGAGCATCCTTTGCAAGGTCCAATTTCGCATGGAATAATTCGTAGTTGTTTCTAGTTTTACATAGAAGTTATGATTGGATTCTTTCCGTATCAACTTCTATTAAAAACAAAATGACTTGTCAAGTTCTAGTGGAACGGTGTTTCTATCTATATTCTAAAGTCTAGGTTTAAGGTTGCAGGCGGCTGCCTCGACAAAACAGAATGGTGATTTGAATCTTGACATCGTGACACTTTTGTAATATCCGTCAAATACCCATTCTTTCAAAAACCTCAGATGAGTCGAGTTTCTGCTGAACCGAATGCGCCCGAGACGAAACGCAAGCGAACCGTGCTGAAATTCTGACCCGCTCTGCGGTAGCGGGAGAGCTTCGACCGCTAGGAAGCTGGGCGTCCTGTCGCCCAACTGGGGCTCGCCCTCGGGGGGCGAGGAGGTGAACGTCACCGCCGGGTGGCCGAGTTCGGTTGATTTGAGTGTGAATTCTTTTTGGGGGACCCTTTGGTGGACATCAGCTAGGTGGGGATTCATGTCCACCAACCACTGTTGAGGTGGTTCCTTGTTGAGGTTGTTCCGGGTAGATGAAGGTTAGTAAGGGATAGGTTCAACGATAAATGGGTGCCTTCGCCCGCCTTTTTGATTCTTTGCATGGTTCTGGGTAGACCATCTTTATACCGGCTTCTTGTTACGACTCATCCGAGCTCTTTTGTAGCCCCGTCAAAGCCTGGGGAGATAGAGACTGATCTGCAAGCAGCCGCATATGGCATGCGCAGCACTCAGCACAGTCTCCAGAGCAGCTGTTGCTCAGTGAAGGGAAGACATGTCATCCAACTTCTGCAAAGACCAGAGATGATATCTTCATTAACAGCTGACATGGTTATGAACTTCAATAGGGGACTCCCTGAAAAGTGGTTGGATGTGAATCCCAACCGGATTTTGATGTCCACCAGTTCGGGTCCCTAATTAAAATTCAGACTTATATTGAAGGAATCTGCCGAACAAAACGCTGCCAAGAGTCAATCCCCCCCAAAAATCTTCGCAAGGGACATTTGCCGGGGGGGGGGGGACCCAAGAAAGCCGTGTGCCCAAGGAGATTTGACAACAAAGCTTTTTTGTTTGGATTCCATGTTGATGAGCCTCTCAGTCGCCTGTGGTTTGGGCAAGTGGAGGGGGTTGCTGGCATTCAGGGGGACGACCGATCTGCGAACAACCGGAAGGGGACATGGCGGGTGCTGCAGCCCCTTCTCATGAGTCACCGGCAAC